ATTTTCTGAGCGTGTTTGGCATGCTTTGCATGCAAAATCTAACCTGCCTTGGGTTCAACGGAGTTGGTCAGATACTCTTTCTTGGATGGAGCAGTTTCGTGGGAGGTCAATGCGGTCCATTGTTATTCGTTTGATGTTTGCGGCTTCGATTTATGCTATTTGGCGTGAGCATAATGCTAGAATCCATGGTGTGACTCCTAAACAAGAATTTGTTGTTATTCGAGACATTATTTTTTCTGTTTGTACATGAGTGGATTTATGTAGGGGCTTGGTCCCATCTAGTGAGAGTAGATTGCTCCAACACTCATGGGGTTTTTCTGCGAATATTTTCTATTGTCGTGATTAAGTTATAAGCACTAATCTAGGTTACTGTTATTGGTGCTAAAAAGACATTTATTCCTAGCCTAATTTTTCTGGAGTATGCCCCTGTGATCTTGTATTTTATTTTTACACTTTGGATATAATACACTTACCTTATCCAAAAAAAATAAACGAGAATTCATGTTAAAGAAGCTGCAATTTATTACACATTGTATGGCATTTTGCAGTTGGAAAGCAGTATTCAAAGCACTGATACTGCGTAACTATTATCTTCCGATTTCAAACTAAGAAAATTTAAAGAGTTAAGCTATTTGTTTCCGTTTCTCGTAGAGGGTTACCGGAAATGGAATTGTCAATATTCAGATAGATTTTACGCATTATTTCTCGTAAAAATGTATATCGGCAAATGAAATTCCTCAAATTAAGCAATGGATAATGAATCATTTTATCATTTTTTATGATTTTATATTTGTTATTCTGGGAATTTGCCACGACTACAAGATTGACTTTTACCCTACCTAAATAATGTAATATCACTATAAATAATGAAAAGTGGAATCAAGCTCCACGATGAATTTTTAACATCTTGAGTGAATCTATATAACATCAATAATGCTTAACACTCGTGTATAAGTGTAAGGGACGATAGGGCAATGCTACACTAATTAATATAAAAAAATGTATCTCAACTTCATTGTACCTAGATTAGTTGTAAAGCGATGTTAAATAGCATTATTCAAATTTTAGTCTAGTGCTTATTTTAATTGTTTTCTCATGTTGTTGGTTGGGAAATTAGTTCGAGCACAATCCCTTTTTGCTAAGCCATCCTGAGATCAGAAAAGAATATATCCGTAAATAGATGTATCAAAATATACTAAGATCGTGCCATTAACTAACCCATTCCTGGAGTTGAGATATTGTCGTCTCGATCCAATCCAGTTGACATCCGTAAAGTTTGGAAATCCACGACGAATCTTGAAAAGATACAAATGGGACTCTATCTAATTTTTTCTTAATTGTTACAATAGATTGAACCGATAGGAGAAAAATAAGAATTACATGCCTATTTACACACAAACATGTAATACTTTTGTACGAGTTATACATGCATAACAGAATCTCCACATCACTAGATTACTTCGAAAGGAGCTAAAGCTAAAGTAAGTTTCTTCTCCGAAAGGAAAGCGAAATATTTACTCCAAAGTATATTTCCACTTAGGATAGTTGTGGAAAGTTGATGAAGCAGAGAATGCTTCTAACTCAAACAATGGAAAGAGGCCATAAGTCCAAAAGCTAAAAACCTTACATACTTCACAAGCAATCTCTACATAATATGTATATATTAGTATAATCCTCATAGAACCCAGATTACAGAAGAGGGGAAAAGAGGGTTTCTTCGATGGAGGAGGTGGTGTTGAAAACTCTTTTATTTGGGGGCGGAGACGAGCGAGTTGCAGCGGCAAGGGAAGTGGCTAAGTTGAGTAGCAAGCAAAGACAGAAGGTGGCTGAAAAGGGAGTTATTTCGCCATTGGTTTCGATGCTATGTGAACAAGATTATGAAGCCATTGATGCTGCACTCTTTGCTCTGCTCAGTCTGGCCTTTGGAAGTGAAAGGTTAGTGTATTTGTTTGATTACTTTGTTGAGATTAATTAGTTTCATATTAGTATGCTAGATTGAAAATGATTTAAGGGAAAAATCTGGTGCAATACCAGAGATTTTACTAATTGTGTTTTTTTTATTTTTTCAGAAACAAGATTCGCATTGCAAAATCTGGTGCAATACCAGAGATTTTAAAGATTCTTCAATGCCAAATCGAGCCATTGCTTGACACTGCAGCAGCAGCCCTCTTGATCCTCTCTTCGTGCACACAAAACAAGTCAGAAATTGCAGCATCTGGAGCGATTCAACTTATTATTGATCTCCTAAATTTGAATTGTGACAATATAAGTATGCAGGCAAAGCTAGATTTCACATCAACTCTTCACAATCTCTCAACATGCCCACAAAGTGTTCGACAAATTGCCCTGTCGGGTTGTGTAGTATCACTGCTTCAGCTAATCCATGGCTTGGAAAAATCATCAGATTTGGTAGAGAAAATTATGGGTTTGCTTGAAGAGATTGTTTCTTCATCTGAAATCGCTCTAAAGGAGGCTGCGGAAACAAGGGACGTGATATCAGTATTGGTGGAGGCTATGGAGGAAGGATCAGCACAATGCAAAGAACATGCAGTGGGAATTCTTCTTGTTATATGCCAGAACTACAAACATGGATACGGAGGGGTGATTTTGAGGGAAGGTGTAATGCCAGGGCTTCTTCAGTTAAGTGTTGATGGGACATGGAGGGGCAAAGAAAAGGCCAAAGAATTGCTTCTGCTTTTAAGAGATGGCTCAAAGAGTGGATCAAGAGGTAAACAATCCAAAAATGTGCTGTTGGAGAAGGTTATGAGGAAGATAGATGGAGGAGAAAGAGGTGGAACCTCACTCAAGTTGGTTGAGGAGATGATTGCCAAACTTAGGACATGATTATAGTTTGATATGGAGAATATTGTGACATGTCTGATGCGTTGAACTAGACACTATTGGGAATGTCTCTTGTTTGACACAATATGTCAAGTACATTGTAATGTATCCTTGGTGTTTGCTAGGGAGTATATGTTCTAGGGTTGGACTTGGAGACTAATTCTTTGTACAGAACTTGCTAATGGATGAGGGATGACTTGGATTTTTTAATGATTGAGTACTTGTGTATAAAACGATTTTACATGATGAAACGTAGAAGCTATACTAGAGACTTATCACGTGTTGCGGTCTAGATTCAGTTTAATTTTCACATCATTTCTAAAAGAATCGAAGAACATTTGACAATACTATAAGATCCATCCGCTATTTATCCTGTGAAAGATGGTCAAAACTGAACGGAAAAAAGAATTTCGCTCCGAAAGGAAGGATTATATACGCTATTAAAGGAATAAAATCATAGCTGATAGTTAATTAAAAGCAAAAAATCAAAAGATTAAAAAAGCCTTAGGTAGTGGGGCTTGGCATGATCTCCCATGGGTCAACCATGCTAAAGAGAGCCCGATGACCTGATTAAAGAGACCATTATGCAAAAACCAGAAGTAAACAGCTCCAAATATAATGGAATGAGAATCAGTATTGATACAAACCAGTCACCAGTGTGTACTAAATGACAAACATCTCTTAGGCCCCGTTCGGGAGGGATTAAAAGTCAATTAAAATCGAAAAAATGACCGTTAATGGGTCCCACTCGTCTAATAAAAGTCAACAACAACGACTATATTTTCAATTTTAATCCGATTTTAATCCCTCCCATACAAGGCCTTAATATGCAGAAACATCTCGGAAAAGAGAAACATGCTTAAACTTCATATAGCCATGTTTTTCTTCTTAAAATTCAGATGAATGTATGTGTACTTTTTTTCACGAACACGTGGTTCAGAGAATTTATTTATTGATCTAGAAATACCTATCTACAAAAAACGAGGGCATATATCTCCCAACAGTGAAAAGTACGTGATAGGTTATATTGCTAATTTCACCTCGACTTTCGATATAATCCATAAGCCACAGCAACAGTAGACACCGCGCCAATAACGGCAACAGTGGTGAGAATTTCACGCTGCTCCCATTTTCCTATCCAGCATGAGAGTCCACCTGACCCCTTCTTTGCAGGCTCCTCAAAATTCTCATCTCTGCAACATGAGAATCCATTAGCACCTTGGCAGCAGCTTCCCACACTTTCCTTCCCTTCAGTACCACTTTCTTGAGGCTGCTTCTCGTTATTGTTAAGATTTGTTCCATTAGCAAGCTTAGGTTCTTCAACTTTTCCAGTCTCTTCAACAGGTGCACCCATTCGGCCCCTGCAGTTGGGTATGGGAAATTAGAGTCAACATGAAATACAACAGGTTCAGAAACTAATTATTCTCCAACAAATGCACAAAATACTGGTCCCGCTCATTCAAAACTCAATTAGATGGATTAAACTAAACACTAGAAAAGGTTTGGTATTAAATATTAATCCACGATGAACTTCAAAGCTCAATTACATGGATTAATCTAAACACTAAAAAAGCCCTGGTATTAATCCACAACGAACTACTTACGTTTTCAAGGATGTGCAAGTAGCAAGCATATAAACGACAACTGTCATGAAGTTTCTGCTCTTGAATTGATAATATACTGTTTTCCGTTTTTCACACAGAAAAGAAAAACACCATCTTTGCGAGTAAGGCATAATTTAAAACAATAGTGCAGAGTCATCTCCTGGCTAGATAACACCGTGTGAAGTCCCTGACACTAAAAGTCATGTCTATCCTCGACTTTTGAACTTGTAGAGATTGGTTAAAGATGCACAACATCAAATTTTGTAATGCAAATAGATGACAAATGTCAAATGAAAAATTAGAACAAGATAGAAGTATTATCTAAAGCAATCTCTAAAAGGCAATTGAATAACTACACTGGAACAAAGTATTGGAAGTAAACTAGACCAACAGCATGGACAGGCAAATCGATCGCATTAATGCAGAGAAAAGAAAAATAAGAATAGGCACATATAAAAAGAGAGACTGGAAAGGGCGAGTTTTTGATAATTTGTACTTTCTATACACTATCATATCAAAATTTAAGTACTATATAATCAGGATTCACCAACGTCAAGGACATCTATGCCACAGTAACAATTATTTCAACTAAATGGTTGGTTCCTTTATTTTACAGAGCATACTGAACAGAGAGAAAGAAGTTGCCTGAAAATTTTGATAAGATTACAGAGAATGGATAAAAACACATAAGAATCACCACAGCAAAATGCTTAAAGAACAAACGTTCTTTTATTTATTCACATCATACATGTACACAGGGAGCAAAGATTAGTAAGCTCCACAGATACTAGTATGGTATGAGGATAGGAAAACTAACTCTAAAAGAAGTCTTACGACAAGTAGTTCAAAATTAAAATGAAGATAGCTGAAACTTGAAAGCAACTCAATGATTCATAACTCCAAGTTAATGTTATGACATCAGAGAGTAGGATCGATAGATTTCATTAGATGTATACAAGTTAAAATAATGTGGTTATGCACCTAAAAAGAACTGCAAACTACATTGAATAATATTAAACGGTACATAACCTTCCTGTTCTCATTGATTAAAATAACACATCCCGATTGAGGCCTGCCTTAGAGCGAATTGAACAAAAAAATGCCTCAAGACATTGTGTTTTAGTCATGCCCACGTGCACAAATGATATGAACCAAGCCTTAAGTGTGTGTGATCCAAACAAAGCATATTCTGCACCAATTGTTATTTTAAATATATAAAAAAAAACACTATTTCGTATTGAGATACAAAAAAATATTGAAATAGTGGACACCTCTAAAATGTAACATAGATACGAATATAAGGAGCACGGGAAAGAGCATGAATATTACACAGACCTCCAGATTCGTTCAATGATCTCTCCCTTCTCAATCTGTTGATCAATCAATTCAGACACATCATTGGGGGTGACATAACCATACCTACATAGAAAACAAAAACCAATTACTTGCCTTTGTAAAACAACTTTTTTACGTAGTTACACTCTTTTACCAACAAAAGATGTGTGTAATAGTATTTACATATTTTTACAGAAGGGTAGCAAAACTGGAACTGAAAAGTCAAAAAAAATCTGGAACTGATCTTGTCATCAATATTCAAGAATAATGGATACAAACAATAGAGATCTTGTTCCTTACCAATTGCCAGAAATTTTTCCTTCAGCATCAGCACTGAAAATTATCACGTTCCCTGCATACTTGTGGCCTCCAACATGCGAACAAGCAGTAACCACCACCTGATTCTGTAAACCCTTGGATTCAATATCCTCTTTGAATTTCTCGATCAGAACAGGTCCACAGACACCACACCGCCTGTCTCGATTATTATGAGCACAGACAAACACATAGGTGCCAGTCAAAGCCTCCTGAACTCCTGATGCCCAGGGCTTTCCGTTCACTAGCACATCCTCAACAAAACCATCCACATCTGAGTCCTTCAATCCCCTGCAACAATAAAATGAGAAAAACAAGTCAACGCCAAGTTACCATAATCAATAGAATGCCTAAGCCATATATCAATGCAATCATGTCCATACTACCATTATTATGCAAGAAACACTATTAAAAGTCATCTTGTAAAGTTGAAATAATACAACTAGTGTTTCATGGCTTAAAACAGAGGAGTAACAAAGAGTACTCCAATCAATCCTGAAATGCACAAAGAATTAAGTGGTGTGAAGGTAAAAAATTAAATTGGAGATGATAAATCCATGCAGCTATATATTTATCCTTTTCAAGATCATAAACACTCGTTTTCAAAACCAAACCTCTAATCTCAATATCCAACCTACTTCCGGTCAAAACACACAGGAAACCATTAAATTTTTTTTTTTTTTTTTATCATCGTGGATGTCTGGGCAAGCTTGCGCGCACCTCGACTAATTCAACGGGGCCCTGAAGTTTACGGCCGAGTACTCACCTGAGTGGCCCTGAGGGAACTCGAACTGGTGACCACTGTGGAGCAAACCACAAAAAACCATTAAATGACAGCTTGTTGGTTGATGCTCATCACTTTAAAACCTTGATATCCTTTCAACTTCAAAAGTAGAGATGAGAAAAGGACATTTTGTAATGTCAGTGATACATAACCCACTAATTTCCAGTCCGGTGCATTTTCTCTCTCTGTCTAACTCACTGCATTTTGCGACAGGCAGCTTTTTGACTCACCTGAGGGTACAGACTTGAGGTTTAAGGTGTTGAGTGGGGTTGAAATTCAAGTCATAACTCACTCACTCCATCCAAGGTAAGAGACTCTTGACAGAATGTAATTTGCATTTAAATTGAGTCCAAATCTAGACTAATGAAGCAAGGATGAATAAATATAAATCGAGCTAGAGGCATCAATTATTCCATAATCAAATAATTGACAACTACAATTGATTATAATGAAAAAAAAAATTGAGAGAAATAAAGTTTAAAATGGATTGTATTCGGGAAAAAAAAAAAAAACACTGTACAGTATAGAAGGATATTTAGGTTTTGATTAAGATTAAGTATCCAACAATGTGTATACAAGCATATGATGGATTTTGCCACTGAAATTAAAGATATGCGGCAACAACTCAAGCAAAACCTTCAGTAATGTTTAATTTTCGCCTGCCTCGAGGGGCGGACCGAGACCATTTTTCTTGTGGGATCAAAAATGAGAATTCAAAAATGTTTAGGTTAAAAAAAAAAAAAAAAACTCAAGAGGAAAACTAAAAAAAAATAAAATTGTGGAGTCATTTGACCCCATATGGGTCCGCCTTCGAGTAAAAAACCGATTTGATAGAAATTTTGGACAAGTGATAGTAAAATTAGACAATCGGAGATCTCGATTTGATTGAAAAACCGAGAAAACATGTGCCTACGTCAAACTCATAATCAGAATCAATTCCAATTTCTTACATAAAAGCAAGAAGC